CAATAAAGGGTTGCTCTAAGATGCCCCAGGATCTGCACATATCCTTTAGAATTGCATGATCAAAACTGCTGCAGAGGCAAAAGCTTTAAATGGTGACTCAAGAGGATGGCTTAAGTTTGTACTAAGTGGCAGACCTGCTTCAGACTAGTAGCTCAGGATGTGTGGAAGTATTTAGACAATCTGTGCCATGTAGACATGCAGATGTCTTCCATGTACCTTCAAGGACGTGCAGTCTTTGTAGATCAAAGAGTTGACATTGCTGTGCACAAGGTAGGGCTGCTATGTGGGATCTGGATTTTGCTGCCTTTGCATCCGTAGTGGGAAGGACTCAGGGAATATCAGGTCTCCCCAGTTTCTCCCACCACTGCATTAGGGGGCAGTTCCTCATTTGTGGTAATCCCAGTTTGTACAAGTGAAGTTTTGTGCTACGTCTGTGCCATGGTCTGTAATTCTCACGCTTGCAGGGCTCTTTAGCTTAAACGTGTGCTCTCTTTTTGCATCCTGTACTGTATAAGATGGTAATCTGTGGGCACAAGTGAGGACTTTAAAAAGATACCTGTAAAGAAATAAAACTGTTCTGTTAGCATCAAAAGAAAGCTAGACCCTGACTGCTTTGTAATCAATGTGTTCAAAGTCTGAACCTTTTCCTGTTTGCTCCCCACTTTTGTCTCATCCTCCTTTGAATGTTGGCTTACACTCTCACGTGGTACCAGCTGGGGGCAGCCCCACAATCTCAAGTGGAAGAATGAGCTTTATTTTTTTTTGTCTCTGAAACACTTCAAAAGCACTATGAAAGCAGGCTTAAAGGGTCCCTGATGGATCAACTACACTTTTCTGCTTAATATGACCTTTCAATGAAGGTCAAATGAAGTGGCTTTGGAGATGCTCTAAAGATGTCACTGAAGAGAGAGCCTCCATAGTCAACGTGGTGTTTAGTAGTTTTCATTCCATAACCCATCGGGGGTGAGCAAGTACGGTATTGTTCTGATTACAAGTCTTTTCCTTTCATAACAGTTGCTTTCAACGTATACACGGGGTCAGCTTACACTCTGAGAAACAGTTGAGAAACAGAGGTATATAATAGTGTTAAAGGAAGTTCCCTACTCCTTTGCTAGGTTTGTGTCAGCAGCATGCTGTGTGGCTGCTGGGACAGCTCTCGCATCAGAGCAGGAAAAAGCAGGTGATCAGAACAGAGCTAGACATATGATTTACAGAAATAAATGTTTCAGAGGCAATCAGTACGGAGGGAGAGGAGCAGCCAGGAATAAATGTAGACAGGAAATTGGAAGGTTGTGCCTGCCTGTGAGAGCAGG